CCACTGGAGCAGCTTGCTCCAAGCCCCTGTGTCCAACTTGGCCTTGAGCACTGCCAGGGATGGGGCAGCCACAGCTTCTCTGTTCAAGTCATCCCCGTGTCCCATCACCCTCACAGGGAAGAGCTTCTGCCTAAGAGCTCATCTCCATCTCCCCTCTGGCAGGTTAAACCCATTCCCCTTGGCCTGTCCCTACATCCCTTACCCAAAGCCCCTCTCCAGGTTTTGTGCAGCCTGGAACCTGCTCTAAGTTCTCCCCTGAGCCTTCTCTTCATCCGCATCCACCAGCATCTCTCCTGATGCCATCCAGGCCAACATCATGGCACAAAGCTGCTCCAACCCCACCGAAGTGGGAAGGGACCACGACCTGGGGAGGATGGGCACCAACTGCATGGTCTCAACATCACCACTCACCTTCATGCACCGGGTTGGGGTGGAGGGAACCTTTCCACAACCCCCTTAACCTTTTCTCTCCACCCAGCCTTCCAACGGCTGCACCGTTACAAGTGAAATTAGTGGGCATTGTAATTATAACGATCAGGAGCAGATAAGACAAGTTAAATACCAGCTACCTAGGGAGAAATTATTATGCCAGCCAGGAGGATCCAAATGCCAGAATCCATGGCTGTAATTTCCCTGAGTCGCCAATTACAGCTCTACCATGCAGCGAGTTCTACCTTGGAAACAGCAGGTATATATTTAGCTGCTCCAGAGAACTTTTGGGGGGAAGGAGAAGGAGGAAAGGCCAGTGACGGAGCAAGTCCTCACTAATCTGCTCTTCACTAATCCCCATGCTTTTAGCATCTGCACACAAAAAGCAGCGACTCTCTTCCCACTTCCCAGCAAGGATTTAACAGCGGAGAGACGGGGTTGCATTACCGCGTCTTTTCTATGCTGGTTGCATGGGTGAGTGTCACAACCCCTATTTAACAGGTAGGAAAACTCAAGGGCTGGTGGTTTGACTGAGTAAGAAAGGGGGGGGAATCTCATTTCCCAGCTTCCCAAACCTATGGTTAGAACCTGTGGTCCTGCTCCTGCTGGTTCTACTTCACTCAGGCCTCATCATGTGGTAGGAAATCAAAGTGCGGTAGATTATTACACCTCCTGGCCCCCCCCCCCCAAAAAAAAGGTAGAATTGTCAGAAATAATTAAAACTATAATTGCAAAAATAAATGGAAGAGTGGCATCTTTATTCCAGCTTCTTAGTTTTAATTGGAATTGTTCTCATAGTCACTAATTGACAAAACAGAGCCAGGAGCAAAGTCTTGGATGCAAATGAGCAAAGCCACCCTGGTTGTCTGGTCTCCTTGGGCAAGCAATGGGGAGGCCAGAAGTGAACATAAAGGTAGAGGGTGATTTGACTTGAAAATCTGCCTTTAAATACAGGGGAAAAGCCTCTCTGTATTATTTATCTTAGATAAAAGCTTAGTTGTACATGTGTTAGTTGTGCAATCTTAGCATCACCTATGAAAGCTCATTTCTCCTCATCCCCCTCCTCTAATCAAACCAGTGCTGTTGGCTCTGTTTTACACAAGGGGAAACTGAGGCAGAGAGCAAGAAAGGCCTTCTCAAGTCCTTGTGTCCCCACATTGATAGCCAAGGAGCAAGCCCAGCACATCCCATCAACCCAGCTACTCCCTCCAACCACTGCATCGCTCTCTTTGCCTTAAAAATAAAGCTCCAATATTTCTTAAACACAGATAAAACTATAAAGCCTTGAAATTTGGAGCAGCTGCTGGTTTATGTCTTTATGAACTGTACTGATGCCTGTTATAAAAGGTCGGCTTGCTGGCGGCACAAGGAATACGATCCCATTTACTCCACATCCCCCATTTCAGCATCAAGATGTGGTACCCGTGGTTCAGCCGTTGCCTGCATCGCCCTTAGCACTGACAACAGCAGTGCTGATGCTTCCAGCACTGCAAAGCAGTTGGGAGAAAACATAATCCAAGGTTTCTAGCTAGGATCAACCCATTGGGAATTAATGACCATGCTGGGGACCTGCCAGCGATGCCCCTGCAGCATCCCAAGGGATGCAGGGCACGCATCCAAGAAGCATCGTGCATAGCAAGCTGAGACTCGGTGGCACTCTTCCCACAAGCAGAAACTTAATCCTTGTTTCCACATCAAATCCCAGCTGGGAAATGAAAAAGTGACCTTCTTCAACCTCGAGTGTGCTCCTTGCTCTGTTCCATGTCCCAAACTGGTGGCTAATGTGGGTTACTGCTGCCGCCTAAACATCTGCCCTTCTTCACAGCAGGGTTTGTGTTTCAGAGGCAGGTAGGAGGCAGCTCGATTTCCTCTTTAATACTGCACAGAGAATTTGCAAACTGCCTCAAGTTCATGGGAGAGGAAAGGTGCAGGGCTATCATGGGAATTGTTTGTTCTTACAATAGGAAGCAGTGAATTACCAATGATCTCTGCTTAGAACAGGGGACTCATCTGCTGCTGATCTAAGATGACCTCAAAGTCGGCTGTAAACGTAGCTTTAGCTTCTACAAGGATTCCATTGAGCATCCCTCGGAAAAAGGGTGGAGAGGTGGAAATGGAAGTGCCCAAAATCCAATACAGGAAACCCACAAACAGCCTGAAAAGCCTCCAGGTTTCCTCCTCCATCATGCGGTTCTGCTCTCCCTCACATCCTCCTGCAGTGCTATGTGTGTGCTTAAAGAGCTCAGAGCTTCCATCAGCCCTGCTGAATCCAAGGGGTTTTACACAGCTCAGCCCACCCTATGACCAGGTATCAGGAGGGTGGGAGAGGACCTGGCAAATCCAATCCCTGCAGGATTGTGGCTAACTCCGTAAGTGCGACAAACTGGAATTACAGGAGCTTTTCTCCCTGTTTTCAGCCCCACAAGTGCCATTTTGCAATGAGGACAGCAGAGGACACCACATCTGTTCTGACTACAGGTTCACAGACCATTTGCTGGCTGAAAACCCTATTGAGGGCCCTACACTAGACACCTACACAAGCATCATCCACATGGGAAGCCTGTCCTGGGCAGTTTCCCATTCCCAGCTCTCTGTGAGGTATTTCAACCTGATGATAAATACCAGCCACATCCTTAAGAACTCCACCTTCGGGCTGCTGCATACCCAGAGCAGGGGATAAGAGTGGGAGAGAGGAGCTGGACCATTGGGAAGCAGCAATGCAAGAAGAGACTGTGGGCAAATGGGAGCTGGAGGCCAGAAACCTGAGTGCAGCAGGCAAAAGCTAAACTTGAGGAGGAAAAGGAATAGGGTGAGCATGGAAAAAATCAGATGCCAAGCAGGGAAATGGGTAGAAAACAAGTGCTTTTGGAGCAGAGCTTCCTGTAAGTCACACCAAGAGATGCAGAGTTTCTTATGGGGAGGTTAAAATAGCTCAGTGCTCCGGAGCTGGCTGCTTCACAAACATCCCCTCTTGCAAACAGCACGGAAAAGAGGCCAAAAGCTTTAAAATATACATAAAGGAGATCCAAGTCAGCCCTCTGCTGGCAATAGGATCAGCTGGAGCTGCAGGAGCTGCCCCGGGAAAGGGCTCAGCACCCATCCTGATCGAATCCCAGTGAGCATCCCCTTGCTCCGACAGTGGGGAAAAGAGCACCAAAGCCAAAGGCATCTCTCAGGGGGGTTGTGCTCCCTTCTTTAACCTGCCTTGCTCATTGCAGCTCAGGTTAACCATCATTGAAGTCAGTTATGAAGAGGAAACATGCCCTCTGCAGTGCCACGGGCCCCAGTTACAGGGGGTGATGACAAGCAGGGCCCTGTCTGGGAGTGAGGAACAGGGCACAGGCAACATCCCAAAGTGTGGAAGGCACCGTACTGGGAGACCAACACCTCTCTCACATGGAACTCGCAGAGCCCGTTTCCCACCATCACATTCTGCACTACCATTTCCCCCACAACAAGGGGAAGATCACCCAACCCTCCCTGTCCATCCTCCATATCCAGGAGAGCAGAGCATCCTCTGCTCCAGGCTCATCCTTGCTCACAGACAGCACGGCACGCACCTCATCCCTGTGCCTGGCTTTGGGAAGAGCTGCTCTCTGCTGCAGCCCTGTCTCCACGTCTGAGCTTGTGTCGGGGTTACACACTGCTCCCTAATGCAGTGAAAGCAGCAGGTTAACTTCTCCAGACTCTCTCTCTCCGAGCTCACACCCTCAGTGCTCCGTTCCCAAGTCACAGGGTCACTTTTCCACATGGATTCACCAGCTCAGGTCCTCCTGAAGCACACGCAGCACAACCCAAAGCCCCAGACACGACCCGAGTCCCCATCACCCTTTGAGAAAAGGCTGGGCTGCTATCTGCTCATCTGACCACGCTTCTGTGATGTCTATTGAGAGCTGCTATCTGACACAGGCTAATGCACCGTGTACACCTGTAACTCATTCAGGGAATAAGAAAAGGATGCTCTGCTCTATTGTGCAGCAGAGAAGTGGCCCATCTGCATAGAAGCCGCCTGCCTTTCTCCCCCAGCAAACAGAGTAAGGTAAAAGCATCCATCAGAATTCATAAGATGCACCCCTGGAGTAAAAGATTGATTTGATATTAACAGATTCGTGCAGAGACTATAAAGTGATCAAGGCAGAACACTGACACCTCGGAGGCATCGCAGCCCTGCAAACCCACTGGCAATGCAGGCTGGCATCGGTGCAAGCAGCACAGACCCCCCCTTCCCTCCCTTCCCACACAGAGACAACTTTGGGAGCGGCAGGCGGCACTAACTCACTGTCTGCCACCTAAACCCCTGTGTCAGCTCCTCGTCTGGCACCCGCAGCCCCGACGGGAGCCTGCCAGCCCCACACCGCAGCCCGTGCCCCATCACCACGCAGCACCAGCGCATCGCTGTTCCCAAAACCACTAACGCAGAGCATCCCCCAGCACAATGGGACACACACGAAGTCTCCAGGAGGTCCCAGCACCCTCCAGGAGCCCCGCACGGCGCACAGCATCCCCCATGAGCCTTACCCAGATCCCCCCTCCCTTCCAGCCCCCCAAGGCATCAATGCAGGTGCTCCTACCTGAGCGTGGCGCTCTCCCCTTGCCGCACTGTCACGTTGTCCATGGCTTTGGGGAAGGTGGCATCTCCGCTGCGCACGGGCACTCCTGCGGGCACAAGGAAGAGCAGCCTGAGACAGAGGACGACTAGGCACCTCCAGGGCAGGGCTAAGCACCCACCGACCCCCATCCTGGGCAGCAGGGACTTTTCCAACAGGCAAAAAACACACCCGACAAGGCCACCGGGAGCGAAAAGAGAAGGAGGGGGGGAGAGAGAGGAGGGATGGGGTGCGTGTGTGTGGGGAAGGAGGGGAGCAAAACCACCGGGGCTGAGCGATGAGGAGCTCCACGGAGATCAGGAGAGCCCCCGGCAAGGCAGGATGCGAGCGCTGAGCCTGCCGAGCGGCATCCGGAGGGAGTCCCCAGTATCCTTGGGTGAGGGAGGAGGACGGGAGGGCCGGAGGGGAGGAGGAGGAAGAGGAGGAGAGAAGATGCAGTGCAAGAGATGAAGGTCACAGATGTGTGCCTGCTCCAGACGCTACTTTAAGATTCAGACGGGTACGCGCTGCGGAGATCTGGCATCAAAAGTTTATAACCCAAAGAGGAAACGTGGCTCTGGCACGAAAAGGGAGGGCGGCCATAAACCCAGTCAAAAACAGGGGAGTTTGGTTGTTTGCCGGCTGCTGCTCTTTGAAATGATAACGGGAAAAGGAAAACAAGGCCCCCAAAACACCCGAAAGCTCCCCAAAATGCCGGTTCTTTCGCAAGATCGAAACTTCCCCGCGGAGCTGCCGGCGATGTCCCCCACGGGCCGGGCACGGGATGCTCCTCGGCTCCCAGAAGTGGGTCTCCGGAGGTGTCCCCCTCACTCAGTTGAGCAGCGAGGAGGAGGAGGAGGAAGGGTGTCGGGGCCGCGGCGGCGGCGGCAACAGCATCCCGGCCCGGGCGGGCGGCAGCATCCCCGGGCGCGCAGGCGGACTGCCCGCGGTTGTCATGGCAGCGGCTCCATCCCTGACCGGCGATCGGGCTCCCGCACACCCCGGTAACACCCGCACGAACACACACACACACACAGAGCGAGGCGGGCGGAGCGCGCTTCACCCGCCAGCCTTTAACCCCCGCCGCACCGAGAGGCTCCCACCAGCCCAAGGGACTGCACCCCCCCCTTCTCCTTTAACTGCTTCAAGCCCGGATGTCTTGCACAGCTCAGCACCAGGATGCTGGTCCCCTCGGCCACCCCAGCGCCCTTGCTGCATCTTTCCCTGCATCCATAGAATCAATCAGATTGGAAAAGACCTTTAAGATCAAGTCCAACCATTCCCCAAGGCCACCACTAACCCATGGCACTGAGGGCCTCGTCTCCACGGTGTGTGAGCACTTCCAGGGGTGGTGACTCCAGCCCTGCCCTGGGCAGCCTGTTCCAATGCCTGAGCACCCCTTGGGGCAGGAATTGTTCCTCAGCTCCATCTAAACCTGCCCTGGTGCCGCTTGAGGCCGTTTCCTCTTATCCCATCCCTTGTTCCTCAGGAGCAGTGACCAGCCCTCTCTTGGCTCCATCCTCCTGTCAAGCAGTTGTAGAGAACCATAAGGTCCCTCCTGAGCCTTCTCTTCTCCTGACTAAACCCTCCCCCCCCAGGTCCCTCAGCCGTTGCTCATCACACTTCCATCCACTTGTTAATGCATGGTTGAAATCAGGGATGGCTCCCCTTTGGCTAGGAGCCTGTCTGCTGGCAGGGCAGTGAGAAACAAGGTCCTGCTGCCACATATGTGCCCCACCAGATCATTGTGGAAGGGTGCTCCAGGGGATCTCCCTACTCCATATCCCTGCTGTCCTCGCTTCCTGACACAGACACCCTTGCACTAGGATGGTTTTCCACCCCATCACTTCAAACAGGGTAGTGCTTGACATCAGAGTGCACCAACCCCTTCCCTGGTCCCCCTGTAGTCCTGTTATGCACAGGAGGTGGTCTTGGAGACAGCAGAAACCATCATTTACCTCCTCAAGCAGCAACTGAGGGCACCAAGATCTCAGTGACCATCCAGACACATCCATCTCTGTGCCTACAAAAGGAAACCAACCTCACATTGCTACCTCCTTGCGTTGTGCTGTACAGTTCCTCATCCCTAAGTCAAGAATGGCATGGTCCTCAACTGGGTGCACTCCTATTCAATATAACATGCCCCTTTCAGGAGGAATATAACAACCAGTGAAAGAGTTTAAGCTGTTTTGGGGCCCCAATCTCCTCCAGAGACCCAAACACAGCTTCTACAACTGATCAAGAGGTTTTTGCAAGGGGTTTTCAGTGATTTCGAGACAAATTATCAGCACCAAAGATCCTCTCTGTATGGCAGTGGGATGCAGAGACCCTAAATACACCGCTAGCCACAGGCTAGCACTGCAGAGATGTGTGCTGACTCCTGGCACCAGCTTATGGCTGCAGGCATGAGGGGGATGCTGACTGCAGCTTGGATAAATAGGACAGCCCAGGAGCCAAGGGAAGTGCAGGGAAAAGCACAGGGATGAGTTTTCCAGCTCTTCTGATAGAAAATTGCCTTAACCCTGAATACTCAAGTCAGCTGCTTCAATACCAAGCATCCTTTTGGGGGGGAAAGGATGGAGAGGAAGAACACCCCATCTCCTTCCCGATGTGCTCCCACCTTGGCACAGAGGAGCCATGTCTGCTGGCAGGGAAGGAGCAGCAAGGAGAGCACAAACCCATTGCAGCTCTCCACAGTGAGACAGCCTGAGCTCCAAGGGGGAGGATGCTGCAATGACCAGAAGCTGTGCTGGGTTCAATAGTGTTCACCCCTTGAGATAGAAAGCTGTAGACATAGAGTGCGTGTAGCAGGAAGCCTCCCAGAGACGATGTAAATTGGGAAAGGGGAGATTTAAAGGGGGGAAAAAGCCTGTCTGCCTCAAAAGAGCCTCTGAGGAGGCTGGGGACATGCAGACACATGTAAAGGCAAGGTATAAACTGACAGACAGGGTGAACTGGCATATATGGGGCATCCAAAAAGGGAAAGAGAGGAAAGGGAATGTTGCCCATATTTATGGAACAGAAACCTGCCTAACTGGGTAGGACACAACAACCTGGCACCTCTATGCAGGTGGCATACCTCAGTGAAGCCACTTTGGCAGTCAAAGAGCACCCTTTCCTGCCTTGGTCTTCTGGCCCACCCCATCACAGCTCTGGTTCAAGCTACCTTCTGAGGGAGCACACTGCCACCAACTGAAGGGAGCAAGCTGGGACATGGGGGAGGAAAGGGCAAAGGGAAAAAGAACTCAGAATCCAGGAGGGTACAAAACGTGGATGCAGCAGACATGAAAGCAGAGCCACTTCTATAGCCAGACAGTTTGCAGACCAGAGGTTGCATGGGGTGGCTTCAGATCAGGTCCATGTCTAAAAATACCAGCTAGCTGAGAGGGACTCGGAGGCTGGCACAGGCCCTGGGGGCATCAGGCATATGGCAGCGGCTGATCCTGCTCCTCAGAGTGACGTTAACAAGCCCTGACCTTCTCTCATCATCCCAGAGGCTCAGAAAGGGACTGTGATTGCAAGGATGAGTCCCTCCACCTCCCAGCCCATTGTCAATCTCCGCATTTATTAGTGGTGAGGTTTGGTCTCCATCTCCCTCCGAGGTTTCTCCCTCATTGCTCTAATCAGGAGCTTGCAAATGCCAAGAGTCCAGGCTTGGAAGTAATGAATGAGAGACCAGAGCCCACTGTGGAGCAGGTTGGTGGCAGCATCACGCTGGGACCAATGTACAGCAACACTGGGCTTTATTCTGCAGCCCCAGCACTGCTCCAGGTTTATTTTCCCCTTCTCCACACATCTCAGGGCATGCTGGGATGCTCTCAGTCCATCTCCCTTAAGGTGGATGCAGTGAGGGATGGAGACTCACCAGCACCCTCTTCCTAAAGGACATTGATTCCCCCCTCTGGCAGGTTCAACCCATTCCCCTTGTCCTGTCCCTGCATCCCTTGTCCAAAGTCTCTCTCCAGCTGTCTTCTAACTCCTTTTAAACCAGAAACAGATACTCACAGCTTAGGACCTTCCCACAAGCACCCTGCCTGGGGAGAGGAACACTATGAAGCACATGCACTCTTCACACCAGTACAGCATCTTTTCCCGTGGTGAGCACAACCAACCACCATGTCCTTGTCAAAGTGGGAAGTGCAGTCCTAAGCAGGGAAAGAACTAATTCTTAAGGAAAATAGAATGGAAAATGGGGTTTTTTTTGTCCTTTTTTTCCCCTAAAATGAAATTTGAGCTGAAGGGGTTAATGCCAAACCCACTGAAGCAAAAACCCAGCAGAGCTGGAGGGGAAAGCAGTCCTTGGAGGACATGGCCTTGTTTAATCAAAGAACTAATCCTCCACCCTCCAGCACTGGTGGAAGTTCCCAGATCTCCCTCTGGAAAGCCCAAAGAAGCCGTTTCAAAGCTTCTTCCCAGTCCCTGTCTGCAGAGAGCTGCCGGTGCCTCCCGAAAACCGGGGTCTTTCAAGGCATCTCTCTCCTGGGGCATGTGAAATCTCTATTCCTGAACATCCTGGCTACACTATCTGGCCAAGATACACATAACAACTCCATGGTGAATAGAGAGCGCTGTATCTCGTTGGTATCCTGCTACGTGCAGATGGCATCTGGGCTCGGGGCTATGAGATTTTTAACTAATATCTTTCTGCACTACTATCCCCTCCTCCCTTTTCTCCCACCTCCTCCTCCTTTCCACCTCCTCTTTCTCTCCATCTGTCCCCATCCCTTCTCTTCTCCACCTTTTCTCTTGCACACTTGCAGCTGCTAATTTTTCCCCAGCGTATTTGGCACTGCCTGCAGACACCTCTTCCCCCACAGCCCTGCTTCTTCCTTTTCCCAATTGCTGCCAAACAGTCTCTGTTTCTTTACCCTGTGCATGCACACCCTGGCACAGCAGGGACCACAGAACCATGGAATGGTTTGTGTTGAAGAGACCTTAAAGCTCATCCAGCTCCAACCCCTGCCACAGGCAGGGAGCCCTTCCACTGGAGCAGCTTGCTCCAAGCCCCTGTGTCCAACCTGGCCTTGAGCACTGCAAGGGATGGGGCAGCCACAGCTTCTCTGGGCACCCTGTGCCAGCGCCTCAGCACCCTCACAGGGAAGAACTTCCTTATCTCCATCCTGGGCTTCCCCTGTTTCAGTTTGAACCCATCACCCCTTGTCCTATTGTACAGTCCCTGATGCTGTCCCCCTCTCCAGCATCCTTGTATCCCCCTTCAGTCACTGGAAGCTGCTCTGAGGTCTCCACACAGCTTCTCTTCTCCAGGCTCAACAGCCACAAGCTGAGCATCCTCCAGCACGTTGGAACTGGGGTGCAGCAAAGCATCCCCCCATTCCCCAGATAAAAGCTTGGGGAATGCTATTCAGAGCTGCACTGACCACTGCCCAGGCAATGGCACACACAGAGCTCTCCCCCTCCATCCCCCTGCCTCTCTCCAGCAGGATTTATTTCTCCCACTTAATTTTCCCAGTTGTTTTATCTTGGTTTATCTTCACACTCGATCAGGCTCTCTGTACAAAGGGAACTTTTATTTTCTCTGCTGTTACATTTAATGCATTTTATCGCAGGAATTTAGCAAACAGAAAAACACACTGAGGTAATTGTGACCAAAAAAAACCACCACAGCTTATTCCTCAACCTGATCGTGGTCGTGAGCTCTCCTGGGCAGAAAATGCAAACTCAAGACCCATTCTCTTCCCTAACGTCCAACTATGGGGCTGGTTTAGCGATGAACACCCCTCCAACACCGTCCTCACAACCTAAATGCATGGATAAAAGCTCCCATCTTCCATAAAATCCTTCTAGGAACATGCAATCCCAGCTGAAGCAGAGGTGTATGCATCCCCAAGGCCAGGTTGGATGGGGCTTGAAGCAACTTGGTCTAATGGAAGGTGTCCCTATCCATGGCAAGGGTTTGGAGCTAGATGAGCTTTAAGATCCCTTCCAACCCAAACCATTCCATGATCCCATGATTTCACTTTCCAGCAGGATTTCTGACAACGATCCAGGATTTCTTTTTATTCTAAGGCAA